AAAGGCACTCAGATTATGTGCTACAAACTTTAATATGTGATGTTAATGAATTGCTCTAGAGATCTTGATGGTCCCTGAGCTGTGCTCCTAACCCAGAACTCAAGCCTCTTTGGCAGTTCAGGCCCACTGGTGGCTCTGTGGAAGAGAGATGGACAGCCTCCTGTGCAGGCTGCAGCCAGAAATCCAGGGGAGGGCCAGCAAAGAGTCACTTTCATCTGTGGCGATGAGTTAGTTTAGCTAGAATGTTTCACAGACTTTATTTTGGAACTGAAATGTATTACCCCTTTCCCTTCCGGTGGATTCCAATTCATAAATGCCTATAAAAGAGAGGAGAATTTCCTCATAGTATTGCCAAAGTTATCTTTATGGGAGTAGAACACCACATCCTACCTGAGACTGGCAGATGGTTTCCCACCTTCAATCTTTCACTTAGCTCTGAGTTCTTAACCGCCATGCCACCACTCCCTATTGCCATTTAGTCAGTTCATATTCATAGTGGCTTTCCATGGGATTTCTTGGGCTGTAAATCTTCATGGGAGGAGACATCATACCTCTCTCTTGTAGAGCTATTGGCAGACTTAGCTGTCAGCTGTCTATAATGCTGTCCTTGTTACATCTCAGTGAGTCAACAACTACTCATTGTGACCTCATGAGCAGATCAAAAACTTGCCCTGTCATGCACTATCCTGCACTTTATAATGTTGTTGTTAAGTGCTGTCGAGTCGCAGGCGGCTCATAGCGACCCTATGAAGGAGTGTCCTCAACGCTTGGGTGTCTCTCATCCTCCCTCCAGGTTCACAGGGTTTCCGGAGGCAAGCTATTATGGAAGTGGATGCCACTCCTCCTTCAAAGCTTGTTTTAATCGGCGAGCTCCTCCCCACTCTCTGTGCGCATTGGGTAACCAACCATTAACACATTTGACACGTCAGTGTCACAGTGTTCAGCTTCACAGCAACCACAAGTTACCGCTGTACGGCAACTTGTACATCAGGGCTATATGACCTAGAGGAATGTCTGAACAAAAACAATGAAAGACAGGCTGAGGCCCACAGAATAAGTCACCCACCTTGGCTTGGTAGCATTGCCTTCTGTCCACTGGGCCAGCTGATCTCTTTATGTCGATGTTATTGTTGTTAGGTGCCATCCAGTCACAGGAAGGAGAGTCCTCAACGCTTGCGTGTCTTTCATCCTCTCTCCAGGTTCATAGGGTTTCCGGAGGCAAGCTATTACAGAAGTGGATGCCACTCCATATATTCCTGATTATCAATGAAATGTTATTTAATTCCTATGTTATATATACTCTATAGACTCCTATTATATATCCATGCTGACTTTATAAAAATATTAATTTGTCATGGTAGAAATGCAAATTTCTTTTTGTAAAAAAAAATGACCTACTTATGTGCTACTCACTATACTACTAGAAATTCCTAATTAACAAGAGAGTTTGTTCCCAAAGTTTACTTGTAAAGTGATTGTCACTCTAGATATATTTTTCCAAAGAAGTGATTTCATAAATAGTGGTTGGATTTTGAAGTAAACTACAAAACCAAATAAGTACCCATTCACACTGATTTAATCTGCTTGTTTTTTTCTTCAGATCTCCCCCAGCTGAGATAATAGAGAATGGAGAACTGGAAGTTTCATTAATATAGAAGGAAGGTAGACAGTTCAGGATCATTCATTCATATGATCTTCTGAAAGGGAAGGGCATATGAAAAGTGCTTGCTGAGCTGCTTCTATGTTGGTTCTTGAGATGGATTATCATGGAAAGTTCCTAATTTAATAAGGCAAGTTGTTGTATGTACCATTGAGTTGCTTGCAACTTGAGGTGACCCCATGTACAACAGCTCTGAGCATTGTTCTATCCTGAGCCAAGAGTATTTTCTCTGACACACCCACCCCTGTTACCTCAGTTACTGAGTCAGTCCATCTCATTGAGGGTCTTTCTCTCTTGCACTGTCCCTCTACCCTCCCAAGCATGATGTCACTCGCCAAGACCTGGTCCCTCCTTGCAACATGCCTAAAATATGTCAGATGGAGCTTCAGAATCCTTGCCTCCAAGGAGCAGCTTGGTTTCACCCTCTCTAGGATAAATCTGTTCTCCTAGCAGTCCATGGTATATTCAATACTCTTCTCCAGCATCACAGCTCAAAGGCATAATTTTTCTTTCTGTCATCCCTAGTCATCATCCAGCTTTTTGATGCATAGCACATAATTGGAAAGACCATGGCCTGGATCAGGCACTCTCCTGACTAACATTGCTATTTCTAGTTTATAATTTTATAGTTTGGAGTAATAAAAATTAGTTAAAATAATAGTAACTTAATGAGGATGCTCTTTTTGTTTGTTATGTGTTTTCTTATCATTTGGTCTATAGTAAATGTACACATATTTGTTAAGTCTTAGTTCCTTTCAGAATTTTTTCTTTTAGCTTTCAATTAGGAATATTACTTTATTAAATTGTTTCTCTGGTGGCCCAGTGATACGAAGCTGCGCTACAATCTCAAAGGCACATAGTTTGAGGCCACCAGCTGCTCCGTGGGAGAAATATGGGCAATTTCCTCCTGTGTGATTAACTGCCTCTGAAAACCTGCCGGAGGGTCAGCAAGGGGTTGGTTCCAACTCTACAGTATACAACAACAATAATTGGTATTTTATGATCATAGTCTCAGTGAGCTTCTTAAAATCAAGGATTATGTTTTATCATTTTGGCATTCCTGGTCCTGTTATGTAGTGTGTAGCCTTTAGTTCTTAACTAACAAATTTTAAAAGAATACATGATTTAATGTAATTAACTTTTACATCTACCTTTAAGAAACAATCTCAAAGAGTAAATGATTTTTTATGTTCTAACAACTGATTATATAAAAACTTGAGATAAAAACCTAAATCCTTTAAATCTAGTGTTCTTTATGTGATGCTTTGCTGCCCTGCTAGAGTATGAATTTTTCAATATGTTTAAAAATAATGGTAAAAGTAAAGATAGTGATGTATAACGTGTCTATATAGATGCAGAACATTGTGTGGGCTGTTACTATACTATTTCATTGGAAGTCTTGCTTTCTGCATTTTCAACTGTAGGATCAATGATTATATGCAATAAAGTAATCAAAAGATTTGTATTAAATACTAAATTTTTTATCACTTTAAATGTGGAAAGTAATAAAATCATATCCAGTAGTTTAATCATAAAACATTTCAGAACCAGATCAGATTTTTTTTAATATATGCTATTCTTTTCTCTGTATGATTCCCTCTTAGAGTCTACTATGTGTGTTAATGTGTAGTCTGAAAGATGGATGCCAGTATTGTCAAGCCCCAGTTATAAACAGGCAGATGGGCAAATAGGACAGCCCCTGGACAAGCTTCTGTTAATTAACCCCAATGCTCTACTTATTGAAATCATTGGTAGCAAGTTCTATATGACTTTTGAAATGCATAATTGTCTTTGTTTCTTTAAACCAAGATCAGCAACATTAACATTGCTGGCCTTCATTTTCTTAGCCATTTCAACAGTTGATGAACTTCTTATTTCTCTATTAAGACCCTTTGCACTTGAAAACCTAGAATGACTTGTATTTCCATTAATGAACTGTGATTCAGACGTTGGTAGATTGTATGACTCGATGTGGGGGTGAAGAGCTTAGCTGATAGAGAGGAAACTTTAGGAGAGAGTGATAATACTGTTGATTTGAATAATTTTAATTTTTCTCTGCTCTTCTAGTTTTTTTAAAAATATTGTCTAAAATCACACAACTGGACTTTGTAATCGTTAACTTTAACACTTCAGCTGACTTTATCTATTATTAGCAATTGTTTAGGCCTAGCAAAATCCTCATTGCCGTATTCTGATACTTTCCTAACCTTCAGGATTTGCATACAATTATTTCCTCTAGTTAGTAGTTAACATTATTTGAGTTCATATGGTGGGTGGGGGGCCACTTTATTAACAAAGAGTATTACATACAATTGCAAGGTCCTGCGAGGCTGTGCCAGTGCTAATAAGTCATACTGGGAACTTAAAATGTTATCTTCTCCAAGACTGGAAGGTATGTGAGTAATGAGATGTTGTGTTGAGTGCAGAAGTGTCATTAAGGTGGTTTAACCTTAATGAAGTAATCACATATTGTATTCTTGTTGATCATAATATTCACACTGTTCTGTTCTCTGCCATGAGCTCAAACAATGCCAACTGATAATCATAGGAAGTAATGGGATTGGAATCTTGAGTATAAACAGCCGTCACTTATTATTTCTGGAGTAGTGGTGATGGACAAATACTTTGTAATCCAGAAAATGAAAATAGTATTTATTTAAATTGCTTATGTCAAAAAGGATTGGAGATATACTGATAAAATAAAGAATGAGTTGAACTAACGGTGTGAGGAGGTGGTCTTTGTAGAAGCTGAAGAAGAAGGATTCAGTTTAAGGGCCAGTACTTAGTTTTATTCAGAAAATACTAAATCCTGGAGCCAAAGCGGTTTCTTTGTAGCTTCATTCTGGATTCAAGTGGCTGTCATGACCAGGTGTCAGGAAGGTAGAGGAGAGAAGGAGGAATATTTTTCAGCTATTCAAAGACAATTGAGAGATGGATAGTTGGAGTTCCACAAAACCTGCCGTAAGTGAAAGACAGAATGGAGGCTTTTTTGCAGCAGCTAAGTAGGAAGCTGATTGTCTAATTCAGAAAGTGAGCTTGTTTCACATGTAGTATGTCAGGTGGTTAACAATCACATTTTTAATAGCATTTAAATTAAACATTATTTATAATATTATTATATTATATTATTTATAATAACATTTAAAAGTACCTTTTAAATTGGCACTTCAAACTGAATGAGTGCTAATAAAGCCTTTGCTGTGTAATGTCTTTAGATTGAAGTCAGGAAAAAGAGAAAGGACTGATTTTAATGAATCCAATAAACTGCCAGTGAATCAATAGAGTATAGAATATGTTTACATCTTGCATTTTTCATCTTTCTTTTCCTTTGATTACTTAGGAAAAGAAGTCCGTCGCTGTCCAGGGACCAGACCCGAAGGTACGGTGAGCCAAGGGAAGAGAGAGAGGAATATTCGCAGTATGCTCCTTCAGACAGCGCAATGCCAAGGTCTCCATCAGATTATACTGATAGGCGATCTCAACATGAAGCTGAATTTTATGAAGAATCTGATCATGTAAATTACAGGGACTCCAACAGGAGAAGTCATCGGCATTCCAAAGAGTACATCGTCGATGATGAGGAGGATGTGGAGAGCAGAGATGAATATGAAAGACAGAGGAGGGAGGAGGAGTACCAGGCACGCTACCGAAGTGACCCCAATTTGGCCCGTTATCCAGTAAAGCCCCAGCCCTACGAAGAACAAATGCGTATCCATGCCGAAGTGTCCCGAGCGAGGCACGAGAGAAGACACAGCGATGTTTCCCTGGCAAATGCTGAATTAGAAGATTCCAGGATTTCTATGCTAAGGATGGATCGTCCTTCTAGGCAAAGATCTATATCTGAGCGGAGAGCTGCCTTGGAAAATCAGCGATCTTACTCCATGGAAAGAACTCGAGAGGCTCAGGGGCCTGGTTCTTACCCACAAAGGACCACAAACCATAGTCCTCCCACCCCCCGGAGGAGTCCCATCCCCATCGACAGACCAGACATGAGGCGCACTGACTCCTTAAGGAAACAGCACCACTTAGACCCCAGCTCTGCTGTAAGGAAAACCAAACGAGAAAAAATGGAAACGATGTTGAGGAATGATTCCCTCAGTTCAGACCAATCAGAGTCAGTCCGACCTCCACCACCAAAGCCTCATAAATCAAAGAAAGGAGGTAAAATGCGACAGGTGTCACTGAGCAGTTCAGAGGAGGAATTAGCGTCCACGCCGGAGTATACAAGCTGTGATGATGTTGAGATTGAAAGTGAGAGTGTAAGTGAAAAAGGTAAGCACTCTTCACAAGCTTTTCTGCTGTCGTTTATGACATTTAATAGTTAGCCACTTCTACCTTTATTTTAGAGAATCGTAATGGTCTTGGTTATGGCTAGAACTGCCAAATGTTTTCTGAAGAAGTGATTATGTTCTGTTCACAGAAAGAGAAGTCTACTGGTTTTTTAAAATTATGGTGTTTTTTTCTTGAATTGTATCTCTGAAATGTTTATAATATCACTTGATGACATATGTTGAAAGTGTCTTATTTAGTTTTAAAAAATAACATTTTTATCTTTATAAAAAAAGTATATGATAATTACAGAAAGTTGAAAAATTCCTCAAAGTATGAAAAGTGAAAAATGCAAGTTATCTGTAATCCTCAGATATAACCATTGTTGTAACATTTTGTTACATTAAACAAAATACTTAATTTTGTTATATTTAACATTTTATTATGTTTCCTATCTTTCTTTCCTATGCATGGATATTTTACAGTTGGTATCATGCCATCTATCTATATAATTTTCTATCTTCATTTCCAATTATTATCAAAAGATTTTTTCATACCCCAGATGTCCTTTAGAAATGTTTGAAAACACTGCACTAACACTTTGTCATTAAGATGTGCCACCAACTAAGAATTCTTTTATTTACAGACATTGTGGTTACTTCCAACTCATAGTTGTCTTTATATGTATTGTACAGCTCATATCTCTGATTATTTCACAAATTATCTACCATCTCTCTCTCTCTCTCCATCTCTCAATTATCTATCTATCTATCTATCTATCTATCTATCTATCTATCTATCTATCTATCTATCTATCTATCTTTTAATGGAGATGACTGAATTGCTTTCCAGAAAGGTTGAAACACTTTACCCTCCTGCCAAATATGTTTGACCTTACAATCTCAATGCACCAAATCTTGACTGGTTGAATAGGTCACAAAAATGCTACCTCTGTCATTTTAACTCGATTGTAAAGGTAAAGATTTTATGTGTTTGTTGACCATTTGGTATCTTCTGTAAATTATCTGTTTATATGTATTATTCCCTCTTCCCATGTTCCTGTTTGGTACTTGAATTTCTCGTATTTAGTTATAATATTAAGGATTTTACCCTATTTGCCACTAGTTCCAGATCTATTTCTCATTTTGATGTTTAATTTCTTCTTTTCTCTGGTCATTCATAAATACTGATTTGATATAGCCACATCTCTGTGTTTTGATTGAGTTTTTGCCATTGTTGTTATAGTCCCAAGTGCAGTTCAGTCAGTTTCGACTCATATTGACCTTCCATCATGCTTCCGAGGCTGTAGATTGTAAAAGAAGGAAAACGTCCATCTTCTTCCCATCGCAGCTGGTGGATTAGAGCACTCACTTTGAGGCTAGCAGCACAATACAATATGCACTATTCTGCCAGTGCTCATTTGCTATCACCCTAAGCAATTCTTTACTCATTCCTGAGTAGTTAAACATTCAAATATGTTTTTCTCATGCTTTTGTTGTTTATTTTTAAATCCTTAAATTTTTAGTCAATTCAAACTTATTTCAACATGCACCATAATACTACAGATTCCTTGCCATTGAATCAGAACTCCTAGTTGATCTTCCAGTCAGTTTTTTAAAGGCATTAAAGTGCAATTGCCCCGTAGTTCTCTTAATGAACAGCTGATGGATTTGAACTGCCTGCCTTTGCGTTGGCAGCACAACTCTCTCCACTAGGCCACCAGATCTGAATCCAGCAGATAAGAGTATCTATAATGAATCTTTCCCACACTCAATGATTTCCTAAAAACGTTTAGTAACTAATCCATTTTCTGTTTATCACAACTCCAAGAATTAAGAAGACAAAATCAGATGGCTATGACATCAGTGTAGAGTAATTTACTATACCAACAACAACTACTTTAAAAATACAAAAGAAAACTAATTCCCATTCTGAAATAAAACCAGAAAATGTACCTTAAGAATAACAATAAATGTGAGGCCTGCAGGAAGAAAATGACAAAAACTTTACTGAGTAAACAAAAGATATAAATAGATGTTCATTTCCTGAACCCTGTTGGGAAATCTAAGTACATGAAAGATGCATGCTTTTTTCTAAATACTTTCTTAGGATTAAGAATTTTCTAGTCATGATCCAGCTCTGATGCTAAGAATATGTTATTTCTAAAGATAATCTGCAAGAAAAAAATAGTGAAAATATCTGAGTAGTCCATGGTCTTTGCAATCACTTGTTATGCATCAGAGAGCTGGATAATAACTAGGGATGAGAAAAGGAGAATTGATACCTTTGAGCTGTAGTGTTAGAGAAGAGTATTGAATATAACGGTTCATCCAGGAGAGGGTGAAACCAAGCTGCTCCTTGGAGGCAAGGATTCTGAAGCTTCATCTGACATACTTTTGGTATGTTGCAAGGAGTGACCATTCCTTGGAGAGGGATGTCATGCTTGAGATGGTGAAAGTGAGAAAGACCTTTGATGAGATGGATTGACTCAGTGACTGGGGTAATGCGGGTAAGTATGTCAGAGACAATAAGATTGGCACAGGATAGAGCAGGGTTTAGGTCTGTTGTACACAGGGTTGCTATGAGTCTCAGGTGATTTGATGGCACATAACAACAAGTCCTTAATATCATTCATATATTAAAAATAAGAATAGATTTTGAAAAATGCATGGGTTGGTAAAAAAGCTCTACTAACCAAGGAAAAAGAATATAATTATTTAACAAATAGATTTTATAAAAATACCTACTGTGGGAAAAAGTCAAGTTAGAATCTCATTTCAAAGTAGTTCAATAAATAATCAAAACACTGTTCATTAAAATGTCACTCTGTCGAGTTGGAAGTGACTCATAGTTGGGTCTCCCATGGGTCTTCAAAGGCTATCACTTGCATGAGCTGAGATTGTCTATCTTTTGAACTGTCAGAGAAACACCACCTTTAGGTTAGTCTGTAAGGTTAGGTTAGTCTGTAGGAACTACCAAAGATAAAGAGCTACCAAAGGTAAGATAAGGGAGGTGTGATAGTTCTGTTAACTTTTGCTAAAGTCTTCACTCTTACTACATAAATATGTTGGAAAAAACATAACGAATGAGTCAGATAGGTATCAGTGCAAGGTTTAAAACCTTTTTATATTTATTATCCTCTTAGGACTTATAATTTATTTTAAATGAATATTTTTAACAAGTGACCTGGGGAGGGGGAAGGAAGGCAGAGGGAGTAAAATGTGCAACAATGAATGGATGAAAATCTAACTTCTCTGTAACATTTTTTAAAATGACTATTAAAATTTTAAAAAATAAGTTATGTCAGGATTTTAAAGTATTCACTTGTGAAAATTTGACACATTAAAAAAGCTATGTGTAAATTGCATGAAAATTATGTTTCTATCTACTTAATACTATTCACCAAACCTAAAACACTTACATAGAAAGAAACTACATGCCTTTAAGGTATTTGTTCTCCTCTAAATCCTAATAGAAATCCTTTTCATCTAATAGTTTGAATAACAGAATATGATTCTACTTATATGTGTTTTCCATAGACACAATTTAATTCCATTTTAGGGGAATAAATTTAAATAAATCAATCCTTTCCTGTTTGATAATATTCAGAAAAGGAGAATTTATTGAGGAGAAGTTGTAAATACATGAGAGATGATGTCAGATCTTGGCATTTCTGTTCTCAGCCAGCTGCTCCACAGGAGAAAGATGGGTAATCTCCTCCTGTCCAGTTTACCACCTCTGAAAATCTGCCGTGAGTCACTTCTGACTTGATGGTATATAATAACAATAACAGCAACAACAGTTTGGATTATTTGTGGGGGAAACATCAGTTTGATTTGAGAACCTGCTATGTTTTAAAGATACCTAACGTCGCAATTCAAAACTATACTTGGTAGATTGTATTTTAATTTTTTTCCCATAATAGTTAGAAAAAGTTTTATTTGAGACATTTAGGCAAACTTTTCTTGTAGAGTCCTATGTTGATACATCATTTCATTGAGGACTAACCATCTTTTAAAAATAGTCTTTGTTTTGTTATCTGTAGGTTAAGTAACTTCAGAATATATATA